AAATTTTCAAAATTCACGCTCCTTGATTCTGAAATATACACCGAAATTGCTCTTTTTTGTTCAGATAGACGCTCCAGTAAGTAATATGTTGAGTTCCAGCGAGTTTGAATATCTTGAATCATTTTATGCTTAGGAAGTCCGAGCTCAGATTGAATACTTTCAAGTTTTGTATATCCTGAATGACTAAAATGTGTCACTATGCGGTGGGCACTAGTAAGAATTTCTTTTATTGGAGAACTGTTATCTAATGCATTATTTATCACCAGCTGAAGAGTATGTATGAAGCAACGCTCTGAAGGAAGTAGAGTTTCCTTAACTCCTTTAACCATACTCGCCCCATTATCGTGAACAATCGCTTCAATTTTAGTGATGGGTGTGTCCCATTTCGTTACACACTGTAACAGTTCTCTTTTGATATTTTCTGATGTGTGTGATTCAGGAAAATGTGCCATGTTTAGAACAGCATGATTCAGTTTAAAGTTTTCTGATATACGGTGTCCTGTGAAACTCAGAAATGCAGCATTATTTACAGAAGAAGTCCAAAGATCGCTAGTGAATGCTATAGCTTCAGCCTTTTCTAACTCGTTTTTTAGTTTGTTAACCACTCTCTCATACATGTCTGGAATTATTTTCTCGGTGATATATGTCCTGCCAGGAATGGTGTATTGCGGCAAAGCATTATTAATAAGACGTTTAAAGCCCACATGATGATCGACGATGGAAAGTGGCTCGTTGTCAACAGCAATCATTTCACCAATCAAGTAGTGATATCTTTTTGCTCGGCTATCGTTGATGTCCCAGAGCTTTTTTTTTTTTCAAATAGTTGTTGCAGTGACTGTTGCACCAAAGGCTGACTGGGCAACTGGGTGGACGAGGAGGTACTTGAAGATAACTCTGCGGGAGCATTATGTTGAGCATGACTACTTGAGCTTCCATAAATTTTACAATACTCATCTGCGAACAAAGAAAAGAACCCTTAATCAGGAACGTAGGTAGCAGCAATTTTTTAAATAATGTGCTACAAAACTCACAATAGTACAATATACTTCATAAATGAAAATAACTTTTGAAACAAATATTATATTCTTACTAAATTCTATTATTACTTAGTAACGGTAAAATAAATAATATAAGTAAAAAAAAAACTAACCTGGGTGTTTGAATTTCAAATGATTCTGCAAAGCCGTTGTTCCTGCTTTTTTTGCTGCTCTACTTATTTTTACACCACACAAAACACATTTTGCACTGTTCTCTAACTCTTCCTCTTCAAAATGTATCCAAACATGAGATTTTTTTCCTGGGTTAGGCATGATTGTTCTTCTTTTTAAGTAACACTTTAACTAATTAAGTATTCATCAAGTCTTTAATTCAATAGCAATTTTCAAATAAGTATAGAAATAAAAACACGACAACCGATGTCTAAAATCAAATAACAAATGCGTGCCGCCTATCCTAATCACAAGCGTATTGATTGAGCGGGAAATCCCCTATAATAATAAACGCTGGGTTATACAAAACGGGGTATTCCCCGTAAACTATGAAAAGGGTTGCCAGCATTTAAAAGTGGAAAATTAAATTTACTACATATATGTAAATATGTATAACACGAAACAGATTTCTTTAACTTTATTGTTTTCTTTTCTCACAACCTTAGAAGAAATTAGAAATATTTTTAATATGTTTTTTATGTCGACTAGTGATGTCGAGTTATTCGACTATTCGCCAAAGTGAATGGCGATTAATCGGTATTCGACTATTCGCTATAACCACTATTCGCGGCAACTCTACTTATTTAATTGACTCTCTACTTATTTAAGTGTCGATAAAATAATGGAGAAATGTATAGTCACATTTCTCCATTATTTTATCGACACTTGACAATATAGCTATTGGCCTGTAATTAGAAACAATTTTACGCCTGCTTTTTTTATGGATCGGGCGAACAATTGATTCCTTTAATTGGTAGGGAATTTTGCCGTGTAGTACAGAGAGGTTAACCAGCTTCGCCAGTACAGGACTCACTTTATCAACTATCAGTTTTAGGTCGGACATGCGAATGAGATCACTACCAGGTGATTTGTTGACTGGGCACGCCGTCATTGCGGCGGTAAGACCCGTTATGGAGGATTGGCTCGAGAGGCGTCACGGGACCCTCTCATACCGATTGACGCAGGTGATCACTGGGAAGGGATGTTTCGGAGATCACCTGTGTCTGATCCGCAAGGAGCCAACGCCTGAGTGCCACCACTGCGATGGCCAGACCGTGGACACGGCTCTCCACACGCTGGCAGAGTGCCCGGCGTGGGTTGAGCAGAGGCGAGACCTCGTGGCGGCCATCGGAGTGGGAGTTCTCTCGCTCGATAGCCTGATTGCGGCTATCGTGCGGAGCGAGAGTGCGTGGAACTCTGCCGTCTCCTTCTGCGAGCAAGTTATGCTCGCGAAGGAGACGGCGGAGCGGGACCGGGAGAGGTTTAGAACTCTCCCGGCCCGCCAGGCCCGGGCACGGGCCAGGCAGCGCAGGCGATTCAGGCGCCGGAGGTCGCAGAACGACCTCCGTCCTCCATAAGCGCAGGCCTGGGGGTGACAGGTGAGGCCATCTGTCACCCTAGCAGAAGCAGGCCGGGGTGGCGGCGAGCGCGTTGCGAAGCGCGCTCGCTTCCAGGGAGCACAGGGAACATGGGGTTCCCACACGGGGCGGGGGTCGTCTACTCGTCTGTAGATGACCCGAGGTATGTCGGGGCACCAGGGCCTTCCTTTCTAGGGTATACCTGGTTCCCCGGCTATTAGTACCCGGCGAAGGCGTGCGGTTTTAGTCGGTTCGAGTCCGACATGCCACCGACCGACCGACCGAAAAAAAAAAAAAAAAAAAAAGGTGATTTGTTGATTTATTTTTTATCTCGTTACAAGTAACAGGCTGCCATCCCATACACATTTCCGATGGTTTAACATAGGATTCTCTATTTAACCCTTTCCCCCCGGGGTAGTGATTTTTAACGAATTTTCGCTTTTGAACTTTATTTTCATAATAAGGTAGGTAAAACGAAACGCACAGATTTTTTTTAGATTTTTATTATACCTAGAAGTACTATTTCCAAGACCTAGACTTAAAAGTACCGTCAGGAACTTCGTGTTATCACAATGTTAGGAACTTGGTTAGAAACTACGAAATAATGAGATCCAATATTGACTTAGTAATAATTAAATTATTAGGTTTTTAATTACAGATTAACCTCATGGTATTCAACAAAACAATTTTCCTTCTCATTTACACACAAAACCACGTTGCAATGCGAACATTTACTATGAGGTTTCGACTGAACCTTATTCAAGCTACAAACTTCACACCTTCCCCTGTTCTCTACGAATGTAGACCAATGGATGCCTCTGTTACCCATACATATAGAATAGTCAGATTTGCGCCTTTTTGAAGGGTCGCCATCCGCAGTATTATCAGTAGAAGTCTTTCTATTCTGACTAGCATTTTTCATTGTCAGTCTCTGGGCATTTTGGAGTTATCATTGCAATGCAGATGAGATAAAATAATAGCAAATCTGTCTCTTGGCATTGTTTTGCAAATAAGTGCAATGTTGAGATCAGATGTCGAAGAGTAATGGTCTCTCCACGCCGGACGAGTATTGTCTATACTCATAAAACATTCATACCTATAAATGTTAGGAGTTCCTCCTTTTTTAGGTTCAATACCTTGCCTTTCTGAATAGCATAAAGGTTACTTTGGTATACAATATTGTCAATAATATCTCCAATCAATACTAAAAATATATCAGTCGGAGTGTTACAATGAGCAAAACAGTCATCTACTACTCCGATATCTGCAATGTATCCCGGTAAAATTGTATCTAGGTCCCTCTTTTTCCATTTACGGTTTGGTTCGGGTAATTGTTGGTTAGTTCTGTAAGAAGACGTATTTGCAGACGGTAGATCAGTCTGAACACTAGATCCAGGTATTGGAGATGTAGGTACCTGATTTATAGGGCACTCCAATACATCTTCATTTGACGGCGACGATGGCGGCACTTCGGCTAAAACACTGTCTAGAGCTCTTTCGAAAGTCTTATTGAGGGTAGTTGAAGATTTTCCACTTCATCATCGGATACACCTGCATCAGACTCTTCGTCGCAGTCCGGAAGCTCTGCTAATAACAGGGCTTCAATCAGAGCAGTATTGTTTTTAATATCCATTTTAATGCCCAAAACAATAAGAAAATAGGTTCAAACAATAATAAAAATAAAAAAACATACGTTTATGATAAAACAAAATACCCTCTTCATCGAGTATGTGTATTATAAAAACTCATAATTTCTGAGACTAAAATCACCTGACGGTACTTCTAAGTCCGCATCAGTTTTTATCAAATATTCATATAAAATAAAGTGATAATACGTTGTAACAGTTTTTTTGAAATGTAGTCAATAATATGAACAACGTAAATAGTAAAAAAAAATGCACTTACCTGTAATATTCTATTTATAAAAAAAATTCGACAGTTTGTAAAATGTTCGACAGTTTGTAACTTTTTGTTCAAATTATTCGGCAACTTTACGCGGTAATTCAAATAACGCGCTGTGATTGGCTCATGGATACGGTACTCTAAAGGATCGTCAGTTGTAGTTAACGTAAAATGTTTTCGTACTAAGTTATTAGACGAAAAATGTGGAGGTACTTCTAAGTACCGTAAGGAGGGAAAGGGTTAAAAATGTATTGCCGCACACGTGTTTTATGTCCTTTATTTCTTGTGAAAAAGTGTTCGCGAATTGGTCACATATATTTTTAATACTTAGTCGTGTAGTAGTGTCCTTCCATATTGGACAGTATGACATTATCTAATGATTGTTTTGTATTACCCAGCATGTTGTTAATTTTTTCCCATAGCTTTTTGATATTATTTTTACATTCTAATATACATTCTTTCTCATATTTGTTTCTACTTTTATTAATAGCTTTGTGACACTTATTTCTAAATTTGGTATAATTAAGACGCTTTAGCATATTCTTTGATTCCTTACTCCATATGTTGAACAATCTATCTCTTTCACATTTTTTAACATTTCCTTTAGATTGCTGTTAATCCATATTTTATTTCTATTGCTGTGAACTACTTTTCTGTTTTTGTAACATTCAGTATAAATTGAAACAAATCTCTGACTTAAAGCGTTGTACAACTCAATAGGACATTCCAATGTGATTATGTCGTCGTGCGACATGTGCGACGACGCTCGCGCGCTCGGTTCGCGGAATATTGTCCACCCCGTACGTTTCCATTGCACCGCAACTGCTGTTAAATAATGATCGGATATTTTATGTTTAATTACCGCAGAGTCTATAGACGCATCACTTGCTCGTACATAAATATGATCCAAGCAAGACTGCACAAATAGTGCAGTCTTGCTTGGATCATTCCCACCCATCAAACCACCCATCAAAATTTATTTTCGTGTGACATCCTTGCTGCACTGTATAAACCCATACACGGACAGTAAGTTTTAGTAAGAAATTACATGATTATCTGATTTATTCAACAAGTTAATATTTATGTCGCCACACATTATAGCTTTTAAATCTGTTGGTAATGTTTCTAGCAAATTGCGGAATTCCGTCAAAAACTGGTTAATCATGTTTGTTTTGTTAATTCTTGGAGGTATAGATATAGCCAATATATGAATTAATTCGTTATTAAATTGTAGTGCAATGGAAACACACTCGGGCGACCGCATTCCTGTTACTATGGTCGATTCGCACACTCGCGCGCAGAGTTCTGCACGCGTATACACCAATACCCCGCCGCCACTGCGACCCGTTCGTGTAAATACACTCAGATTATACCCACTTTTTTGGAATAATGATAGTAAGGAGTAGTTAATATTAGGTTCTCTTATGTTAATTAACAATGATTTATTGAATATACTTAATATAATATTGGATTGTAATGGCAACACTGCTTTGGTTGTCAAGGAAGGCTCTGTAGGTTATACGCACTCCTTTTTGTTTAGAGATATTAATAAAAGGCACGTTTTATGTTCCAAGTCTTGTATCTTTAATTATCCCCATAATCCTTAACAGGGTTACGCCTTTAGTACACCTACGCGTTCGTATACGGCAGCGAATCACTGCAGAACTACTGCGGTAGCGAAATATCTGCGGAACGTTAGTACACAGCAGTTTTTTCGCAAAGAAATGTCATTGTAATTTACGTGGACTGCGGGTGCAGACGTCATTTCAGAATGTCGTCCGAGTCGTCCCAGTCATCGCTTTTAGATTCTGAAGAGGAAGAATTGTTGTTGCTTGCGTCAGTATTAAAGAGAAAGCGTAAAATTTGGGTGCATGAAATAAACCAGAAACGAAGGCATCTTGGAGAAAATAAACTATGCATAGAACTTCTATCACATGAAGATCGTTTCTATACTTATTTCAGAATGAAGCCAGAAACTTTTGAATATTTACACAATCTTCTTGAACCTCATATTAAAAAGAAAAATACAAACTACAGACAGGCTATTTCAACGAAAGAAAGACTGGCACTTTGTTTAAGGTAAGATTATTTATTAAAATGTTTATTTATTCACTTGTCATTCCAATTAGAAATATATTCTTGAATATCTTCTTGATGTCGTATTGTGTTGTTGTCTTGTCGTGACACTTTGGTACGCGTAATTGTCCTGCCATTACTGGGTCCCTGTACCGAATGGGTTTGTATATAAGGCGATTGTATTTGTGCATTAGTCAAAAGGTTTTGAGTGTCTGGGACCGATTGGGTTTGAGTGTTAGGTAAGTGCATCTGTGCCGAATGGGTTTGTATATAGGGCGATTGAATTTGTGCATTAGTTAAAATGTTTTGAGTGTCTGGGACCGATTGGGTTTGTATATTGGGTGATTGTATTTGTGCATTTTCTGTATAATACGATGGCTGTTCTTCAGATGGTGTCGATCTTGACATGTTCGAGTCGTTGTCAATGTAGTAAAAATTGGGAGTACTAGAGGATGAAGCATTGCTGAAATTAGAATTTGGCCGGCTATTATATAATTCTTGAAGTTGAGCCTGAGTTATAATGTTTGTTATTTGAAGTTTAATAATAGCTTGTTGACGTAGAGAAAATGTCTTGACAGTATGGGCATAACCTAGAAAGTCCATATCCATTCGATCACACGGTATTTTTGCCTGTATTTCCAGATTTTCTAGTCTTTAAATAATTTATAATCTTGTCAGCAGGATCGTCGTTGCTTACACGTCGTCTTCTTCGGGATATTTCACGTGTTGGATTAGTTTCAGATGTAGTCTCGACTGCCTCAAGTTCTTGAACAATTCGGAGCTCGTTCTGTTTGTTATTTGAAACTTGTTCGGCTTCTGTAGAATTGTCATGTTCATTCTCTGTAGATAGAGTATTGGTATCCAGTATTACCCTGCTAGCTTCCAGTGTACTATCAGTTTCCCTTAAGTTTATGGAAGAATCTATGAACGACATTTGATCAGCCCACTGCCAATTAGCGAGTTTCTTCGCGGCTTGTCCACTGCTTGTTTGCTGGCTCTGTTTATATTTTTTGTATGTGTCCCTTAGATTTCTCCATTTAGTCTTCATAGTTTTAACTGTAACAATATTTTCAGGTTTTTAGCAACTGGTGACACATATACAACAATATTTTTTTCTTATCGTTTGGGTGGATGTACTGTTTCAAAGATAGTAACACAAGTATGTGAACAAATTTGGAAGATACTACAACCAGAGTACATCCCAGTGCCTTCTACTAAATCATGGTTGGAAATAGCAGATGCATTTGAAACAATATGGGGTTTCCCTAATTGCCTTGGAAGTATTGACGGCAAGCACATTGTTATCAAATCTCCACCTAACAGCGGCTCACTATTCTATTGCTACAAAAAGCGATTTTCAACTGTGTTATTGGCTATAGTAGATCTACATTACAAATTTACATACATAGATGTAGGGTCATATGGTAAGGATTCCGATAGTACCATATTTGAGAACTCATCATTTTATCAGTTTTTAAAAAATGGAAGGGATCTAAATTTGCCAGCTCCAAAACCTTTGCCAGGTCTCGAACAGCTTACACCACATGTATTCATTGGAGATGGAGAATTTAAATTAGAAACCTTTCTGATGAGACCTTTCACTAGAGACGCAGTAATAAATGACAATGGTAAAAAAATATATAATAAATCATTAAGTAGGGCACGAGTTGTAGTAGAATGTGCATTTGGCATATTAGCACAAAAATTTAGAATATTCTTGAGGCCCATGGGAGCAGATTTAAATAATACCATTAAAATTGTTAAGGCTGCAATATGCTTGCATAACTTATTGCAGATTCAAGAAGGTGCATACACGTTCGAAAATAAACAATTTTCGGAAACTTTAGCAGCATTCGTACCAATGCATGCAAATAGACATAGGGCAGACTTAGCAGCGTTCAATGTTAGATCACAATTTGTAAACTATTTTAAAGAAAATTAAAAACAAAAATGTAAACAATATTTTTCTTACCATTTATCCCTATCTTTTCTTGAACTTTCCTCCATGCCACCTCTTTTTTGTAAGCATTTTTATAATCTGCGTGACCAACTGCATATAATTCGGGATAATTTCGAATTGAATTCAAAAATATTTCAATATCTTCGGCTTCCATGGTGCGAAAATCTATCCTCACCGACAGAACGCATGCGAACGCCTTGCGATGCGAAATACTACTAGCGAAACGTCCGCGTCTGTGTAACGACGATTACGCAGTTCCTTGCGAAACAATACCGACAAGGACGCAACTATTTCATGTAGCCTAGTGCTAGAGTGAGACGTAGCGTATGCAAAATTCTGCCATACAACTGACAGTTTTTTCGTTGTTTCGCTGTGGCATACGAACGCGTAGGTGTACTAAAGGCGTTATGGGCCCAGGACGGCCATCGCGTTTTATAGTGGATTAAGTGTTAAAGGACAGAAAATGTTAAAAGAAAAATATCAAATTGTCCCTTTCGCGGGGGACAATTACAACGCGTGGGAATTCCGGTTGAAAAGTATCCTGCAGGATAATGGAGTAATAGGGGCGATCGAAAAGGAGGACTTTAGTAAATCTGCGGATAAGAAGCAATTGGAAGCTAAGGACCAGGCTATCATAATAGCGGCAACCACCGACAGTCACCTCGAATACTTAAAGGACAGATCTGCTTATCAAATGATTAAAAGCATGGAAGACAGCTTTAAGAAGAAAGGTACAAGATCTAAATTATTTATAAGAAGAGAGTTGTCCGATATGAAATTCGACGAACGGAAACCTTTAATGGAACATTTTATTGACATGGAAAAGCTATTTGCACAACTTGGGGATGCTGGCAGTGAGCTCTCGGAGGAAGAGAAGGTTAACTACTTACTCCTATCCATGTCGAAATCTTATGAAGGCATTATCACGGCTTTGGAAACTGTGGAGGAATTGAAAATGGACTTCGTGAAAAACAGATTGCTTGGGGAAGAGGAAAAACGCAACAGAGGAGCTATCAAATCCCTTGACTCTTCAATCTTCTTGTGTTATAGATGTGGACGCCCTGGACACGAAAAAATTCCAGTGTAGCACTCAGCAGGCACGGCACAAGACTGGTGACTGGAGACTTCACGGCCGTGGACGTAGCGACTGGAAATACAACGGAGGCCGAGACGACAGTAAGGCAACTCATTACAAGACCCAAGGGAGAGGTAGAGGAAAGTCATTTCTTTATTTCATGAGTCATTAAAACAGGTTTTAATGACTCATTTGAGTCATTAAAACCTGAGGGAAGGGATACAGATGATGTTAATTCTAGGGAGAAAAGAAAGAAAACTAAACCAAAATATTTACAAGAATTTGTCACTGATGATTCTGATTTGGGTGGTATATTAATGGCATCATTTTTATCTTGTTCTAATGGTATTGTCCCGGAAAAGTATAATGATATAGATCCTTATGACGATAAAGATAGGTGGTATAAAGCGGTAGATGAAGAAATTAAATCTTTAGAGGATAACAAGACATGGGAAGTTGTAAAAAAATCAAAAGATGCTAAGTTAATTGATTTTAAATTTTGAAAAAAGGCGGGTGATGTATATAAAGCTAGATTAGTTGCAAGGGGTTTTCAACAGGAAGGTAGTTTTACCGACATTTATTCTCCTATTTTGAAATTGCAAACTCTCAGAGTTCTTTTATCAGTTGCTATTTAAAGGAATTATTTAATTCATCAAATGGATGTTAAAGGTGCTTTCCTTCATGGTGAAATCGATGATATTGTATACTTAAAGCCCCCACCTGGTGTAAATATAAATAAAAATTATGTCTTGATATTGAAAAAATCACTTTACGGTCTTAAAAAATCTTCAAAAAATTGGTACAATAAATTTTATGATTTTATGAAAAGTAAAGGGTTCCAAAGGGCAGAAAGTGATTATTGTTTATATTTTAGGGATGGTATTTACATTTTGTTATATGTGGATGATTTATTAATTATAGGTGAGGATAATTCAAGGAAAAATAATTTTAAAGAAACTTTACATTATTATTATTATTAGCTTTATTTAATTTAATCCCTTACATGTATGTATTTCTTATCTACTATTATGTATGCTTATTTATTTATTTGTTAGTAATGTTAGTTTTGTTTTTAAATAAGGTTAGTATTGTTAGGTGTAAGGGCCGCCTTTTGCGGTGAAAGCCTCCTCCAAATCATTCCAGGTGGCTCTATCATTTGCCCGTCTGGACCATAAGTTTCTACGATGTCGTGACTCCATCTTTTAAATGGTCTACCCTTCCTTCGTTTTTTATATATTGGGTACCAATTTGTGATTATTTGTGACCATCTTTGATCCGTAGCTCTCTGAATATGACCAGACCATTTCCATTTTAATGTCGGGACCTGTTTGACTGCATCTTTCGCCTTTGTTCTTTTCCTTATCAGTGAACTTTTGACTCTATCTTTCAATTTGATGTTCATGTAACTCCGTTCTAGTCCTCTTTGACAGGTTCTTATTTTATTTAAGAGTGATTTTTTGAGGGACCATGTCTGGCATGCGTAGGAAAGAACCGGCGTTAGGCAGATGTTTATCGCTTTCGTTTTCAGTTTTGTGGGTATGGGGCCTTTGAAAATTTCCTTCATAGCCCAGTATTTACTCCACGTTTTCTTTACTCTTCGATCGATTTCTTTTTCTGTACAGGATTTTATTGAGATTAGATGTCCGAGGTAAGTATAATCTGCGACATATTCTATATTTTGAGACTGTATGAATATAGGTATTTCTTCACGATTAGTCATTATTTTCGTTTTGTCCCAGTTGATCTGTAACCCAACGGTCTCACTGTGATGGCTAAGGGACTCTATCATGTCGTTAAGTTTGCGCGGGTCTTCCGACAGCAGTACTATGTCATCCGCAAACCTGAGGTGTGAGAGATACTTGCCATTGATTTTTATTCCCACATCACTCCAATCGAGGTTTCGGAATATGGATTCTACGACTGCGATGAAAAGCTTTGGGGAGAGCGGATCGCCTTGCTTTACCCCCCTCTCGACTTGAAATGATGGTCCTCTTGAGTCTAGACGTACTCTTGTTGTGCTTCTTAGGTAAATAGCTTTAATAAGTTCTATATAGTCGTGGTCTAGTCCTTGCTGGTTTAAAGCCTGCCATATAGAGTCATGTGAAATTGAATCGAAGGCTTTCGAGTAGTCTATAAAAGCAACGTATAAGGGGAGGTCATATTCCATAAACCGTTCGATTATTAATTTCAGTGTGTGTATGTGGTCATTGGTAGAGAAATTTTTCATGAATCCCGCTTGCTCTACAGGCTGGTTCTTGTCAATCTTCGTTGTTACACGTCTTAGTAGGGTCGATGCAAATACTTTATACAGACAGGATATAAGACTGATGGGTCTGTAATTAGATATCAGTTTGGGGTCTCCCTTTTTATACAGTAGAACTATCTCCGAGCATGTCCATGTTTCCGGTAGTTCTTTTGTTTTTAAAATACAGTTGAAAAGCTTAGTGAGTGGTTTTATTAGTTTTTCTTTCGCAGCTTTTATCATCTCGTTTGTCATTCCGTCAGGTCCTGGGCTCTTTCCTGCTTTTAGTTTTATTATAGATAGCTCTATCTCTCTTTCTAAAAAAGGTGGTACTGTTTCTTGAACTGGTTTATAATTTTTAGGCATTGGTGTCTCATGATTTTTATTTACACACGTGTAGAGGTTCTTATAAAACTGTGTAGCTATCGTCATTAGGTCTTTCCTATGAGTGACGATGATTCCCGAGGCATTCTGGAGTTGTGTCATGAGATGCTTGGTACTTTCTAACTTTTTATAAGCCTTTTTTATTCCACCTGTCTCTTCTATGAACTTGCTGATTGTATCGAGTCTCCTCTTTTTAATGTTTTGTTTTATTTTTTATGTATTGTTCTATATAGTTTGCTCAGACTTTTCTTTTCTTGCCTAGTTTTGTTTTTCTTGTTTTTTAACATGTGTTTTTTGTTTTTCAGAGTTTCTATTTCTTTTGTTATAATTTCTTTATTTATTTTCTCAGTTGTATCTTCAGTTCGTTTTTTGTAGCCTTTTAGTAAAAATGTCTCAATTTTCTTGTTAAATTGGTGCACGTTATCGTTTTCGCAGTTTCGGACAAGGATAGCAGGTCTTCATTTGTAGTTTCATTGTCTGTATATGCTTTGCCTCGGTAGTGAGCTCGGGTTTTTTTATTTTCCACTATATTTAAAGTAATTCTAATCATTCTGTGGTGACTAGGGTGGTGCAATTTGCTCATTACATTTACGTTTTGTATACTTTTTGTGACATTTGTAGCTATGAAAGTCAATTTCGTTGTTCGATTTTCCATCAGGTGTTTTCCAGGTCCACCGAAGCTTATTAGATTTTTTGAAAGTTGTGTTAGAGATTTTTAAGTTGTATTGAAGACAGAATTGTATGAACGTTTCTCCTCTATCGTTCCTTTTTCCGTAGCCATACCTTCCCATTACTAATTCTTCATTTTCTTTTGGGGTATCCTATTTTTGCGTTCATGTCTCCCAGAAATATTATATTTTTTGTGCATTTATTCATAGCTTTGTCAAGATCGGCGTAAAAGTTTTCTATTTCAACTGTAGTGACTCTTTTCGTAGGTGCATATGCTTGGATTATAGAGAATTTATTTCCGTATATACCTACTTGTAATACAGCAGCTCTCTCGGATATCGCTATAAAATCATGTACTTCTGTATTGTTTTGTTTCTTTACCAGGAATCTAACACCTTTCTCTCCCTTTGTTTCCCCATAGTAATAAAGAAGATATCTTCCCCTGTCTTCTATTTTATAACCCAGTCTTCTCGCTTCAGCTATACCGATAATGTCCCAATTAATTTGCGATATCGCGTATTCCAATTCAGCTATTCTTGCTTCATTTGCTAATGATCTGAGATTGAATGTAGATATATAATATTTTTTAGGTTTGGAGGGTGGTCGTCTACAACCCCCGCGGTGACGAGCCGTTCTGGGGGAGGATTTGTAGGTTTTGTGTTTGTCTTTGAAATATAACGTTTGTTTTTTGTTTTTGAGGGTGCAGTGTTTTCATTTTTCTGGAGTTTTCTTAATTGCTATTCATCAGAATCATTTGAAGAGTAAGGAGTTTCCCCTTCCTCGGGTTTTTTAGTTGAAATTTCTTCACTAAACAAAATGTTATTGTTTAGTGAAGAAATTTTTTATAGAGCTCTGATTTTTTCCTATTTTATATGTTTGAGTTTTATTCTTTTTTATTGCTTGTTGTTGTGCGGTGTTCTTGTTTGAATGTATTAACTGGTGGGGAGGGGTTATTTCTAACTCTCTCTTTTTCCTAGTTTTTTCTGTTTCGGTTTTGTTTGTCTTTTCTTCTTCTGTTTCGCTGCTGTCTTTCATGGATGGTTCTCGAACTATAAGTTTGTCGTATCGCAGGAAGGCTATTTTTCCGGCTTCCTTCTCTTTTTTAATTGTTCTTGTAACTCTTTACACGTTTCTAGGATTTGAGGTGGGAAATCTTCTTTCATATAAATAGTTTTCGTTTGTATATATTTCTTGTTTTTCAAAATTGTAATCTTCCTGCCGTACGTTGTAAATGTTACGACGATAGGTCTCACTTTGTCTTTTAAGTATTTTCCCACTCTCTGGACCGTCTCTAATTCTTTTCTGTCACATTCCAGCTTAAGCTCGTCTTTAATAGTTTGTAACACGGTTCCTTCCAACTCCTGATATGATTTTTCACGTTCTTGTACCCTAAAGAATATGACATTCCTTTGCCTAATTTTTTCTATGGCACTAATTCTTTTGTCATGTTTGGAGTTAGTTTCCTTAATTTGTTCAAGTTCCCTTTGTAAGAAGTTAAAATTTTGGTCTATTTTATCATTTATTTTGCTCGTGATGCTGGTCTCTAAATTCAGCAGTGATTCTTCAGTGTCTCTTTTAATATCTAATCTTAGTTCTTTTAAAAGTTTTTCTATTTCCGACATAGTGGCGCCCTCTGTTAACTTTAGGCCGTATTGTATGCTTAAGCTCTGTGATGCCCTCTGTGAGTAAGGTGCTGTACTATGTGAACTTTTGGACGTCCTTGTGCAAGTATGCTTTGGAAGTAGTTTCCCTGAGCGGAGACAGATGTCGCTCTTCTTTGCTACTTCTTGTTGTTTAGGTCATCCGTTAGATGTCGTTGTGCGCCGGGTTTCTAATCGATTTTCGTGCTATGGTCTAGGGATGACTTTGACAATTTGATTTTGTAGGTTAGGTTTGCAATTTTTCGGTGTAATTTTAAACGGAAAACTATTTCTTTATTTTTAATGCACAAAAATGTTCAAATTTTCAATATTCACCCGATTTTTAAAGCACATCGGCTAGTTTTTCTTTAAAATGTCATTGTCATTCACATCACTTCACCTCTCTTTGTTTTGCAATTTTGTCCTTTATTTTTGGAATTATTCACTTGATAACACTTGTAGTCAGGGTCTCCACTATTCTGCACTGTTTTAACATAAGTTTGTCCAATTTTTGTCGTGATTACACTTTTAAAAACTTTAAAATCGACGAGCGTTTAAACAAACAACGTTTACATCACCGCGCCCTCTGTCGGTCTTGATACTATACTTACTATACTTGATACTTGATACTATACTGAATGATAATTTTATTAGTTCCCGTAAATACTCAGCTGCGATTAGCGCAGTTGACGTTCGCACGGTGGGAGCCGCTCGCGCGTCAGATCTTGCTTTTAACCAAAAATTGTCAATTCTAGGTCAACCGAAAGTACCTTGTGGTAAACAAACTGTGGTATACCACTCTGCGTTAACCGTTCTACGATCTTCAAGTGCAATAGTCGCAACATGGCCGGTTTTTCCAACGAACGTGGCCACCATCTTCTTTGAAGTGCTCCGAGAACGAACAACTTAAGTCGCCTTTGGCTCGTCTTGAAAGACCCAGATTGCAGATTGTTGTTTGGAATCAGGATCGTAGGCATAGATCCAAGATTCGTCACCACTGATGATGTTATTACGTGATTTGACTCTCCTCGGTTGAACCTTTGAAGAATTTTCTTACACCATCTGACACGGGCCGCCTTGTGATCGTCGGAAATCAGATGCGGTATCCAACGGCAAACTAGCTTTCTCACACAAAGCACTTCATGCAAGATCTTCTAAATGGTTGTCCCTGAGATGCCTAATAGAGCCTCTATCTCTCGATACGTCACATGACGATCTTCGAGAATTAGTTGTCTCACAGCAATGATGGTATCTTCGGTGAAGGCGGATTTTGGGCGTCCTTCACGAGATTTGTCACTAACACTAGTATGAGACAGTCCGCAGACACAACACAGATGTTAGCTCTTCAAAACACTGAAGCCGTGTCAGGCCTGCAATAATTGCGTGCGTGCAATAATTTTCTTACCGTGTGGTGACGGATTTAAAATACAGAGTGTCACCACCCCTATTCATCCCGTGGGTGTCGTAAGAGTCGACTAAGGGAGTAAACTACGCACTACAACAGCACTGCAGAGAGAAGGAAAACTTGACACAAACCCTATACCAACACGTCTGGCCAACGTGGTATAGTAGGCCAAAACCTCCTTTCTAAGGAGAGGTTTATGTCCAGCAGTGGACTATTAAAGGCTGTTGATGAACGCACGCACATTTTCCTTAGAAAGATTCATTTTCGTACGTAACCTGACAGATTCCAATCGACGCTGTGACTAAACAATAGCATTAATCCTAGTACTTTCAACTGTTTTGAGATTCAAAATTTAAACACATTCGAATATAGAACAGTTCCAAATTAAAAATTGCCGGGAAATATGGAAACGACAGAACTTAAAAGGCATGCCTAGTAAAACAAGTGCCTTAGAAAATAGTGCGACAAGATAGCGAGAAAAGTTTAGATGACAGTGACGGTGAGTTAATAACTGTGAGCTGAAACTCAAAACGAATGCATCGAAGTTTTTCTAGTAATAATAATTCTGGGCGTATGTCAGAGACTGAAGTTTCAGAATCAAGATGTGACACATTTGATGTTTTTATTACGTCCAAAGACATGTTGCCCAAGCAAATTGGTTTGGCCAAACTTTTAAAAACAGAAGGCATTTTTTCAAAAGTCAGATATAAAAACCCCTTTAGAGTATGTATACAATTCAACAGCAGGGTAAACGCTGAAAAGTTACTATTATGTGAGAAAATTAAAGATTTGTCCTATAGATATCACTTGGCTCAAGAAGTGAAGTTATCATACGGCGTAGTTAAAATTAGCGAGCTCGATATTACAGAAGAAGAATTAAATAAGATATTTACTTGCGAATACGATAAAATCTCTGTAAAAAGATTGAAACGTTCCACAGACGAAGGTAAATGTAATTTCCGGTAATACAATGTTCAAACTGCTGGAAGTATAGGCACCTACAAAAGCAGTGTACTATTAAAAAAAAATCGGTTGTCTGTAAAGTCGGTTTACTGACGATAGTTGAACGTGACAACGTCATAAGAAAATACTGATGGAATGGTTGCATTTTTCAAAAATGTATTATTGTATACGAGTAGCAGCTGTCCACGCGGACGCATCGCTCACTCAAGTAGGAGAGAGACAGATGTCGAACGCTGCCGAACGCGGAGGCCGATTGTGCCTCTTTGTCGCTCGTTCCGCGCTCTCGCTTGCACTTCACGCCTTAAATGGAACGCCTCAGAGCGAGGTAACGCCGCATGAGTCATGTTTTTTCATGCGTGCAGCCGGCTCCATCGAATTATAAGACGTTGTCACGTCAAAAACGCGGGGCGTGTGGCACTTTAAAATTTTTGATGTATGGGGACAGGGAACCTGTTAATTTTAGAAATAGTTTTACGTGTTCTTTTTAACTGTTGATTACCTTTTACCGAGATAACAATAGATGAATGGTCAGTAATGGTTGAGTTACAAACAACTGTAGTTGCTGTACAGCCTATTTTAAGAAATGAGTGGTCATAACACTTCGATTGTCTGGTAGGGAAGGTATGACTGGGCAACAGTCCATTCATGGACAGCTGGTTTAGGTAATCTGGAGTCCTTCAATCTTGATTACCCTCCTTAATGTCAAGGTTCATATCACCCGTTACTATAAGATTTTTGAAATGTCTTAGATTATGTAAAATATGATCGAGGGATTCTTTGAAGCGATCGACAGTGTATACTGAAGGTGACCTATAAATTGCTACGATGGCGTATTGATTGTTTATTTCAGCAACCAGCAGTCTGTATCCACCATTTTCGGTTCATAAACTTTGACATTTAAATCATCACTAGTATATATTACGACGCCACTATTTTGATTAATGTAATGTTTAGATGAATGGCAAATAAAGTTTGATAAACTAGGTATGTTATTTAAGTGAGGGAGCCAACATTCCGTTAAAATTATGAGATCAAACTTAATTTTTAATCTTGCAAGATGAACTGTAAAATCGTTAAAATTATAATCTATGCTTCGAATATTCTGTACAATTATATTTAGGCTATTATGAGATTGACCCAGTAGATCCCGGCAATCGTCAGCTTCATCTATCAGGAACGCTTCACCAACACTAACATTGACATCAATGTCAGTGTTCACTTGTTGTAAGTCATTTGTCATATTGTTTATATTTGTTAATATTATAGAATAACATATAATGGTTTGGCGCTCCTGACCACATGACGCCGATCACGTAGACTATACTGGGTGAGATAAAATTTGTACTATAATGAATCCAGTTTGTTAGAATATTCGAAAGTGTGAAATTACCAGTGTAAGTGAACAAAGCTGGTAATAAAAGAATGTTAAATAAATGAATATAGTTAGGTGAAGGACATAAATAAATATTGATTATTATAATATTAGTAGATAAAAGATATATTATATTTGTTGACGCAGTTGTAATATAAATTCTAAGTAATATGTGTAAATAATAACAGGTAAGAGAGTAAATAGTAAACCAACAGATTAGCAAAAGTGTTAGCCTAATACTTTTATGTAGTCACTTTGACTTACATTGAAACTTTTCCAAATCTTTAGGCTTTTCAATACGTATCGGAGTTTCATCTTCACTTTTTCTCAACAACACAATTCCTTTTGAGGCCCAACAGTACTTAAATGAACCATCCTTGACGAGTTGTTTGGCTGCATTAAGTAGCATTTTAGTTTTAGGAGTCAGCTTATCAGAAACATAAACATGGGTTATAGAAGATTCAATGCTCAAATTTTTGCTATTCAATTTCCTGTCCTTATTAGTTTTGTTATATGATATCACCGACTTTAGTAGCTGTATTTTATGGTTGAAGTTTTCAAATTCAATAACAATCGGAGCATTTGCTTTTCCTGCACGATATACTTGCCTGACATGTTCCATGTTTGCTTCACTATCCACAGTCCTCATCAGCTTAGTAACGATCTTATTTAAGTCTTCCTTTTCTTCTCTAGGTACATGTCTCACTTCCAAAACGTTCCTCAGCTGGTTCCTTTGTAATTGATCCAATTGTTTCTCCAGTAGGTCAATCTTATTATGAGCGTTTGCGCATTCTACCTCCGGGCCAAATTCTGTTGATCAATATTTTGCTGTAGGATTTTTTCTATCTCCCCATTGCTTTCAATTAATTTTTCATTTTGTATGGTTAATGCTTCAATAGCTTTAACCAGATTATCATATTTTGTGTCTTGTTTTGATTGGAATTCCTGAAAAATTACTTTCATATCCGAACAAAATTCTGCAAACTTCTCATTTTCTGGCATTTTTCTTTTTCTTGTATTTATCCTTACATTTGCCACCCCATCGTCATTAGTATTTAGATTAGGTTGTGATGAGCACATTCCTGTAGATGGCGAACGTTGAAGTGGCATCCCTTTTTTTGCGTATATTGTGCTTCAATGAATAATTTGTTGGTCACGCTTGGTACGTGTGATTCATGCATTCGAAAGATGCAACATACTATGTAATATTTAAATTTAAACTTTAATACAAAATCTTTAAGGTTTGAAGCAGCATTAAAATGTTTAATCAAATGCAGCCAAAACGATGTACACGTCTCTATTCACTAAATGCCCAACGATGAATGATATATAATATCATAGATATCATCACGTCCTAATGAAATTTCTAAATTGTCTTCGTTTTTAGGACATTCTGTAAAATTTGTATTGGCATCATAAAAGTCGTCGCACTTAGTAGAAGAACTCGCATTATTTTCATCCGATTCGATTGCTTCAGATTTTTTTTTTTTTTTTTTTTTTAATCTTTATTTATTTAGAGGCTTTTATTACAAGAAATATGTTAGCCCCATCGTGGCTTATTCTAAGATATTAACTATGTTATCATAGTTGATAGGGGAAGTCGTTGCTGTGAAAATATCTCAAAAAGGTCTAACGCCGCATTGGAAGTAGGGTTACTTAGAATGCTAATGAACAGTCCTACATCGTACACATTAAGATTATATTTGCACATCAACGAGTTCAACTCGGCAAACTTTTAAATACCTGTTGCGGAAACATCTCTTAAACTCCTTATCAGATCTAACTTGATACCTCTCTCTTCTAGAATTTATTGTGTGTATATATATATGTATATATATATAATATGTATAATTATATGTATGTATAAATGTATATTATTATGTAAACATAAATACTTATGTATTTTGTGTATTAGTATCATTATTACCTATTATATATGTATGTATCTCTTTTATTAAAATATATTCTAATGCAATTTATTTAAGTACCCTGTGCATATGATATTCTATTTATACTATTTTTTTTTTTAAATCACATTTCTAATTTCTGTGCATCTACCATATTTTTTTTAACTCTGCATCGCCCTAAGGTCGACTGGTAGAAAATGCCTACGGCATTAAGTCCGCCTGTGTCACATTTGTACATAAAGTATAAATAAATAAATTATCGAATTTTGGTACAATTATTTAACTGAGTGCCATAACCATATACGGAACCATTATTTTTTGCCCGTGATTTCGTTTATGTACATATTAATGTCACTCAATGTACGGATTGATCTTATCTTTGTATCCTTTGGATCATCTTTTTTTATGAGCATCTTACCATTTTGTATCCAAATATATCTATAAGTGGGCTTTAGTTCATTTTTCGCCGTCCAGAGAATGTTACGCATGTACTTCGTGAGATCCTCATTTATATAAATCCTTTGTTTGTTTCCATTGGCAAAAACATCATCATTGGTTATTTGGTGGGTTTTTCTTGTAGTTAACCACTTGTCGCGGGCGGCACGTGTACATAGTGTGATTACAACTGGGCGTGGTTTTTGCTTATTGTTGTCAGCAGGGTCGCCACGCACGGAGACAGCTCGCAGCGCGCTCCGCGCTTATTTTCCTCACCTACCCTTTTAATTTCACATATCTTATCGGCGTCTAAGCCTAGTTTGCCTGCTACACCTTTTACTGTTAAATCTAAATTTTCATTAGGTTTTTCCTCCAATCAAAATATTTCTACATTTCTTTCTTTCTCATGTATCTCTAAATAGGCTATTCTTTCTTCTAGGGACTTGCTAAGCGTTTCTAAATGCAAGTTTTTTATGTTCCAATGCTTTAATCTTTTTGTCTGATTTTTCTTTCTCTTCTATTAACTCTTGGTACTTCTCTGCATAGAAGCTTATAGCTTCAGACATAAATTGAAATGTTTTTTTCATGTTGAAAACTATTGCCAGCTTTTCATTTACTTCGGCTAACAGTCTTTCCGGGGTTGTTTTTATTAGATCAACGTCGATGGAAGGTTGACCTGCTTGCATGATTTGGCATTCATCACAAAGGCCTGTGTGTGTGAATGCCTTGATTTTGAAGCCACACTTTTTGTGATATACACCCTCACACTCAGCCTTACATTTCGTAATACTATCGCCTTTCACTCGCGCAAGCGATATCTTGCACAATTTGCACCAGGGTAATATACTTGTTATTAAACCACTGTACTTGATACTATTATTATTATTATTATTAGCTTTATTTAATCCCTTACATGTATGTATTTCTTATCTACTATTATGTATGCTTATTTATTTATTTGTAAGTAATGTTAGTTTTGTTTTTAAATAGGGTTAGTATTGTTAGGTGTAAGGGCCGCCTTTTGCGGTGAAAGCCTCCTCCAAACCATTCCAGGTGGCTCTATCATTTGCTCGTCTGGACCATAAGTTTCCGGCTGTTTCTACGATGTCGTCACTCCATCTTTTAAATGGTCTACCCTTCCTTCGTTTTTTATATATTGGGAACCAATTTGTGATTATTTGTGACCATCTTTGATCCGTAGCTCTCTGAATATGACCAGACCATTTCCATTTTAATGTCAGAACCTGTTTGACTGCATCTTTCGCCTTTGTTCTTTTCCTTATCAGTGAACTTTTGACTCTATCTTTCAATTTGATGTTCATGTAACTCCGTTCTAGTCCTCTTTGACAGGTTCTTATTTTATTTAAGAGTGATTTTTTGAGGGACCATGTCTGGCATGCGTAGGTAAGAACCGGCGTTAGGCAGATGTTCATCGCTTTCGTTTTCAGTTTTGTGGGTATGGGGCCTTTGAAAATTTCCTTCATAGCCCAGTATTTACTCCACGTTTTCTTTACTCTTCGATCGATTTCTTTTTCTGTACAGGATTTAATTGAGATTAGATGTCCGAGGTAAGTATAATCTGCGACATATTCTATAGTTTGATACTGTATGGATATAGGTATTTCTTCACGATTAGTCATTATTTTCGTTTTGTCCCAGTTGATCTGTAATCCAACGGTCTCACTGTGATGGCTAAGGGACTCTATCATGTCGTTAAGTTTGCGCGGGTCTTCCGACAGCAGTACTATGTCATCCGCAAACCTGAGGTGTGAGAGATACTTGCCATTGATTTTTATTCCCACATCACTCCAATCGAGGTTTCTGAATATGGATTCTAAGACTGCGATGAAAAGCTTTGGGGAGAGCGGATCGCCTTGCTTTACCCCCCTCTGGACTTGAAATGATGGTCCTCTTGAGTCTAGACGTACTCTTGTTGTACTTCTGAGGTAAATAGCTTTAATAAGTTCTATATAGTCGTGATCTAGTCCTTGCTGGTTTAAAGCCTGCCATATAGAGTCATGTGAAATCGAATCGAAGGCTTTCGAGTAGTCTATAAAAGCAACGTATAAGGGGAGGTCATATTCCATAAACCGTTCGATTATTACTTTCAGTGTGTGTATGTGGTCATTGGTAGAGAAATTTTTCATGAATCCCGCTTGCTCTACAGGCTGGTTCTCGTCAATCTTCGTTGTTACACGTCTTAGTAGGGTCGATGCAAATACTTTATACCGACAGGATATAAGACTGATGGGTTTGTAATTAGATATCAGTTTGGGGTCTCCCTTTTTATACAGTAGAACTATCTCCGAGCATGTCCATGTTTCCGGTAGTTCTTTTGTTTTTAAAATACAGTTGAAAAGCTTAGTGAGTGGTTTTATTAGTTTCTCTTTCGCGGCTTTTATCATCTCGTTTGTCACTCCGTCAGGTCCTGGGCTCTTTCCTGCTTTTAGTTTTATTATAGATAGCTCTATCTCTCTTTCTAGAAAAGGTGGTACTGTTTCTTGAACTGGTTTATAATTTTTAGGCATTGGTGTCTCATGATTTTTATTTACACACGTGTAGAGGTTCTTATAAAACTGTGTAGCTATCGTCATTAGGTCTTTCCTATGAGTGACGATGATTCCCGAGGCATTCTGGAGTTGTGTCATGAGATGCTTGGTACTTTCTAACTTTTTATAAGCCTTTTTTATTCCACCTGTCTCTTCTATGAACTTGCTGATTGTATCGAGTCTCCTCTTTTTAATGTTTTGTTTTATTTTTTTATGTATTGTTCTATATAGTTTGCTCAGACTTTTCTTTTCTTGCCTAGTTTTGTTTTTCTTTTTTTTTAACATGTGTTTTTTGTTTTTCAGAGTTTCTATTTCTTCTGTTATAATTCCTTTATTTCTTTTCTCAGTTGTATCTTCAGTTCGTTTTTTGTAGCCTTTTAATAAAAATGTTTCAATTTTCTTGTTAAATTGGTGCACGCTATCGTTTTCGCAGTCGGACAAGGATTGCAGGTCTTCATTTGTAGTTTCATTGTCTGTATATGCTTTGCTTCGGTAGTGAGCTCGGGATTTTTTATTTTCCACTATATTTAAAGTAATTCTAATCATTCTGTGGTCACTAGGGTGGTGCAATTTGCTCATTACATTTACGTTTTGTATACTTTTTGTGACATTTGTAGCTATGAAGTCAATTTCGTTTTTCGATTTTCCATCAGGTGTTTTCCAGGTCCACCGAAGCTTATTAGATTTTTTGAAAGTTGTGTTAGAGATTTTTAAGTTGTATTGAAGGCAGAATTGTATGAAAGTTTCTCCTCTATCGTTCCTTTTTCCGTAGCCATACCTTCCCATTACTAATTCTTCATTTTCTTTGGGGTATCCTATTTTTGCGTTCATGTCTCCCAGAAATATTATGTTTTTTGTGCATTTATTCATAGCTTTGTCAAGATCGGCGTAAAAGTTTTCTATTTCAACTGTAGTGGCTCTTTTCGTAGGTGCATATGCTTGGATTATAGAGAATTTCTTTCCGTATATACCTACTTGTAATACAGCAGCTCTCTCGGATATCGCTATAAAATCATGTACTTCCGTATTGTTTTGTTTCTTTACCAGGAATCCAACACCTTTCTCTCCCTTTGTTTCCCCATAGTAATAAAGAAGATATCTTCCCCTGTCT